CACCTGGATGAGAGCCCAGACTGAGTCCATTCATGACCAGTCCCATTGACTTTAACAAGCTGTCGGTCAGAGCACAGGGCTGCAAACCTCACAGCTCCAGCCACGTCTCAACTTTGTCCTTAAATGTGTGGGGAAATTCATCCACAATTCTCCAGCAGTCTCTTTACAGGTTGAGTCAACAGATCTAGACAGGTAAATCACCTGTATCTTCTGCTGGGTCAGAAAACCCAGCTGAAGGACCACACTTAATCATCAGTATCCCAAAATAACAGTTCTGCAGAGGGAAATGAAGAATGCAGGTAAAATCGAGATGGCACAGTGGCAAACAGCCTCTCCCTGCCACAGCTCCCCTCTAGAATTTACACGCCTGAGACCTTCCTTGCATTGGCTCTCCACTTTATTTGTTCTTCAAACCTCCCCCATGAGCCATAACTTTATTTCCTTCTAAGACATGACAGACTGAACACTGGAAAAGGCAGGATGCTGAGCACATGCTGGTATCCCATGTGGAATTACCATATCCTAGGAATAAGGCAGCCCTGATATTTGGAGTTCAAGAAGAATTTTTTCCCCCACCGAAGAGTTGCTGTGCTTTCTTGTTTTCCTGGGAGGAAAGCTGCATGGGGGCAGCAGGGTTTGTTCATATCTGTAAAGCTATTTGTGATGACTCAGTGTAATATCTACTTTGGAACACTAAATATTCCCCAGTAAACACTTGACAAACCATTCACATATAGAAATACATTTAAAAATCAAAGAAAAGAGAGCAAAATGAAAATGTTTCACATTCCAGTTGAAATGCTGAAAAGGTGACATGAGATGTTTCTGCCTCTACCCTGCAGATATCACATTTTATCATCCTTGGGGGCGATGAATTGAGCATTTGTACAGTTATTTTCTTCTCTAGTGAAGCCTTTTTGGAATACTCTCAGACATAGACACTTGCCTTGCTCAGGTGGTAAAATTTTATTCATATTCTCCTGTAAACAACTTAACAGCAAATTACCAGTGCATTTCCTTCCCACCACATCACCTTAGCAACCCTTGTGAAACAGCTCCAACTTTCAGAGGGAGCTTGGAGTCTCACAGAGATCTGCAAAGCCTCCAAAGGAAAAACAACACCTCTGGTAAAAAGAAAAACAAAAGCTTTATGTTTTCCTACATGGAACCTTGTAATCCCTGAAAGACACAGATTGAGGTTTTGAGAAGGAAGTGGTTCAGTGCAAAGGTGCAAACATTCCCCTCCAGAACAAACCCTTCTGCCCAGAACACAGTGCTGCCACTGGCTCCTGCCCAACACGGCTTAGGACTGAGCCAGGACAGTGGTGGCAACACAGAGCAAACATCACCAGCAGGAACTCCCCTGTCAGCTCCTGGTGTGACTCTGGCCACACATCTGGCAGAAAAGCAGTGCTCTTTGCTTGAGGGAAACCGAATCTGGAGTCAAATGTTTTTAGAATGTTTTTTAGAACTTCCCATGGGCTGGGAACGCTCAGAAAATTCAGCAGTAAGAACATATATGTGCTTCCTGGCTTCTCACTGAGATGCGTGCTTTTCCCAACTTCCTGTAAGTAAGAGATCCCAGATCATCTTTTCTCCTTTTTTTTTCTTCACTGTCAGCTTCACTGTCAGGAATTCTTGAATACTTTGCTAGACCTCAAGCCTCCTGCAGCTGATGGTTGATATTCAATAGCCACTGACTCTAGCCAGTGTGTGGCTGGGGTTAACCAGTATCCCTAGCAGGCAGCTGAAATTCCAAAAATGTTATTTTACAGGGTTTTTAAAGATCCCAAGTCCTGTGGCATTGTAAGGCACTTCCTTTCCTGACACCTTCGAGATCAACCCTGATTATTTTTAATTGCAGTTTTCCTCTGTTACATATTATTCAGAAATCTCACAGATGAAACCCAAGAGGGGCTGCTCCCAATGAGACAGAACCCAGACCTTCACACACCTCACTTCCACCTCAGACAGCAAGGCTGCCTTACATTTTTATCAGCTTATATAGAAACACTATTTCCAGCAGAATATCACAGCCTGCAGCACTCACACAGCTGCCAGTGCTCATGATTTGAACACGAGCCCTCGTGTGCCTTGCCTGCCCTACGTGTGAGGGCCCATGGTGGGGACACCGGTGTGGTCCCAGATCCCCAGCACACCCCGGGCTGGCTGCGGGGACAAAGCCCTGACACCTCACCTCGAATCACTGCTGCCCTTCTATGCAGCAGGACTTGTGCCAACAGCACTTTGAACTCACACCAAAGCAGATCATGCTCTGAACTCTGACAATCCATTGGCAGCAAGGTACCTGTACCGCCAGAACACAACTCCACATTTGGCTTTTTGATCACGGATCAGCTCCTCCGGATAAAGAGGATCAGATCCGCAGGGCCACGTCAGAAACGCTAAGGCCAACTTTGTAATAACACAATTCACTTCCAATGCTTTGAGAGCACTGAATATTTCTGAAGTATGTGTAACAGGAGATGAGGTAGTGTTTGATTTACCTCTCAAATGAAATTCCAGAAGGTGCATTTATAGATAGCTAAAAAGAGCTGCAATAATTCCACGAGACCGTGCTCTACCTGGACACATCCGTTTGCTGTAAAGTTGCAGACAACACGCTTTGAAAAGACGAGGCAGGGCAGACTAATAGACCCACTTCAATTACAGATCTAACTCAAAGCCTCTTCCTGCCCAGTTCTGAGCAGCACTTTGAAGTCACAAGGATGAAAGGGTGCTCAGTGTCTGACAGCCTGGGGGCTGTGGTACAAATGAGCCAAAGATCCGACTCCTCACTGACCAGGGCCAGTGCCTGCTGGAGGGATCCCCAGCTTTAAGGAAAAGGTCTCCTGCCCACTCCTTCTGTCCCATGCTTGGGTATGTAATGCTGCTTAAAACAGATTCTGAACCTGGATAACAATAGATCACACCAAAAATGGCTTGAGAATAGAATGAACTTAGAAAAAAACTTTATCTCTGAGAACATGGTAAATTTATAGATCAAAAAAGCTGTCCCTAGTTGCATTCCCAAGGCCACAAGACATCCGGTAGCATTCAGTACCAGCACCAGATTCTACCAGCACAGGCAGGAGAACCAGGTTAACAATTCCCACCACCATTTATAAAGCTGCCAGACTAAACAATGGCTTTTTTAGTATCTCACCATGGATCTGAAATACCAGATCAGCTTATCTCTCACAGTTCAGAAGCCTCAAAAAGAAGACAAAATATAAGTTGCTCAGATTCACCAATGCTCTGTGGGCCATCACTGGGGTTTGCAAGTCTTTGGGTAGCCATGCTCCTTGACTTCAGCACGTATTTTGCTACTGAACCACAATCACAAAGCTGAAAATAATAATCAGCATGGCCAGTTCAGACACACATGACCCCACATCCCTCTGCACAGATCCAGTACCCCCGGTTCATTCCAGCTGCTGAGCTGGGTATTGTTTGGTTTCTGAATAGCAATAGAGACAGACTTCTTTGTGAATAAAAAGTCATTTCTTATGAGTCAAATCTACCAAAGGATTTTGTTTCCCTCCCCCATCCTCTTTCCCCTAAAGTCTGGAACACAGAAACACATCATAATTGCCCTGAAAGCAGCAATGGGAATACAGCAAGGAGGAAGTTGGTCTCTACATAATTCAACTCCTTTGCTTTTTGATCATGATCCGATGAATGAGTGTTGCCACAAAGACACCCTGTTATCAGTGTGCAATTAAAACCTTCCCAGAAACATATTCAGATTGCATCTAGGCATTCATACTTAAGGGATAAAACCTTTGTCATGTATTTTAGAACCCCTGCATAGAGATTTTGTAATTGTATTCCTTTCTAACAAGTGAGGTTTTGAGAGGGGGATAATTTTCTTTTAGTAACTAAGTGGTTCTAAATAATGTTATAAATACAACAGTTTATAGTCCAGCACAGCTTTTACATTTTGCTGTGCAAAATCTACAACAAACATGTAAAATGAAGCTGTGAAGATGGCTGACAATCGCACAAGTGTTACACTTGCAGAATGGTCTGTATTGTTGTGGCTTTTTGTGTTTCCGAGCAATCATTAAGTAGTTTTTCCTCCAAATTTGGATAGTTTTCTGGAGCATTTACAGCACAAGCATTACAACACTGTGCTAGGGGAGAACAACTTAATATGTATGTATATATTTTTAAATATAAAAGTCTCGTCAGAAGAGGAATTTCTCTTCTTTCTTCTTCAACTACACATCTTAGTTGTTTCTCCTCTTTGCAGTGCCTAGCACTAGAAAAGCATGGGAAGAGCACACAGCATGAATGATGACCAAACAATTCAGTTGTCCTCATGACTGGCAAGTTCACCTGCAGAACTAATTCTGCTGCTCCCCACTCTGCAGCTGTGAGCTCCCGAGTGTGCAGCCTGCAGGACACCACTGATGGCTCACCACACTCAGCTCCCCCAGAGCCCAGCTACAGCAATCCTGCAGCCTGATCTCAGTCTCACAGTCTCACCCCCTACCCTGATTCTGTGAAAAAAGCTCATTTACAGAAACTCTCCAAGAGAACATTGCGAGAGTTACACTCTTATGGGCAAGTTCATGTCTCCACTACTCAATTTACAATATACAAATTTTGCTTTTGCTTTTTCATATACGCCTTAAATTTTTTTTTATTTTTTTTTTAATATGTTACTCAGTAATTCAGGCTACAGAAGGGGATACACAAAAATTGTGGTAGGTTAATAGTGCAGTTAGCTGAGAAATTCATCAGAAGTTCCACAGCAGAATGTGTAATTTTTCTGCATCCATGGTTATGTTTAAATAAATGCATTTTAAAATTCATCAAATATTGCACTCTGAAGTAGGAGCAATAAACATGTTGTATGATATTGGAAATACAGTATGACTGCTAAGATAATTTTAATTAGTCAGCTTTTAAGTCCTACAAGGTATCTTGTGTTACTACAATCTGTCACTTTTTAGTGTGTTAAGACTGCAGGGGCACATAGAAGATTTATTTACCTGAAGGGGAATATCACCCCTCACAGCTCTTTCACTTTTTGTGGCAGTTCAGTGGCTCTGGGAGCTGGCATGCCTAGCTATGAAGCAAGACACAGGCTGAAAATGAAGTTGCTTATGGAGAAGAACAGGAGGGGCAGCTATGCTTTTTTAGGGCAAACTGCACTGGGCTGTAGGGCTGTGGGAACAGATCAAGCTCATGGGAGCTCAGGGTGAGCGCAGTGCTGCGACTTGTCCTCACACACAGCAGCCGCCATCTTTGCTCCCCTCAGAGCCTGAGCTCCCGCGCCGCCCCGCACCTTCCCCGAGGCAGGGGAGAGCACCAATCACCGCGCAGCGCGGGAGCGTCGGACCAATCACCTTGCAGCGCGGGAAAGTCGGACCAATCGCCACGCGGCGCGGGAATATCGGACCAATCGCCTTGCAGCGCGGGAACGTCGGACCAATCGCCTTGCAGCGCGGGAAAGTCGGACCAATCGCCACGTGGCGCGGGAACGTTGGTCCAATCGGAACGCAGTACCCCAGGGGGCGGGCCCACCCCGCCCCGCCCCTCTCGGTGGCACGCTGAGGGCCAGGCGCGCTGAGGGCTCGGTAAGATGAGCTCCAGAGCGAAGGCTGGAGCTGTTGTCTGCCCAGTGAAAATGTCACCAGAAAGCAGCAAATATTGCTGAGGGCTGATCTGCTGTTCACATGTACCTGCGCTGTGTGGCCCCAGCCAGTGTCCTGCGGGCACCTGTGACACCAACACACCTCTGAATAATTGTCATTAATGTGCCTCAGCTTCCCAGTGCTCTCTAAATATTGCAGTGTAAAATTCACAGAGATAATTGCATCTACATGCATTGTCAGCTAAAAAAATTGTGCATTTATATCTGGTTATTAAAACTTTCCTTCTTGAGGAAATGACTGGTAAATGACAAATGAGATGTGTTCTTTACACATGTTTACTCTTATAAACTTATACTATTAAATAACTAAGTCATATTAATTACACAGTGATACCTGTTCCTGAGCGCAGGCACCTGCCGGGAGTCACAAACAAGTCTGCGTTAAATGAAGGGGAAGGAAGATTTTTACAGCCATTTCTTCTATTTACTATGGGGAAATCCGCTTATAAATCACCTTCTCTAACAATTTGGAGGGACAGAAAACAAGGGTAGACTCAAGGCTAGGCTGAAATTCAACTTTTCTTTCATGCAGAGGAAGACTAGAAAGGAGTAAACTGCAGCCTTTTGTAGTGGTGGTATGCTACTGTATTCTACTAATAAATAGAATAGTAGAGCCTGCACAACCTGGAGGTGATAACTGCTTTTCACGCAGCATGCAATTTCCATTTTTTATTAGTCAGATCTTCTCACACTTTTCCTCATTAGTTCACCACAGGATCATTGATTTTATTGCTGCAAGCTTATCTTAATTGTGCTAAAACAAACATTTTGGGTATAAGGGTCCCTCACACTTCCTCCAGTCTGTTTCCTTAACCTCCTTGCCACAGCCATGTTCCAGAATTTTCTTTCTGCAGTGGGATATCACAATGGGCTTTTCAAAATGGAAAGCATTTCATACTTTTTAAAGGCTACAGCTCATGCATGATACATTACATTTTATGATTGTGCTTGTGCTTTCATTTTAATCTCTTTCTTGAATTGAAACTCTGATGAAAAGTACCCAATACAAAATCCAAGTGTTTGGTGGGTACCTTTCTTCCAGCCTGCCTCAGGAACTTGAGGCAAAGTTCTGTTTCCCACCTCTGCTTACAGCTGAGCTCTGGAAAGATCGTTCTCTGTGCTTTCCATAACCAGTGACATTCCTGTCAGTGATCCAAATATTACACATTAACACAGACTCCTGCAGGGGTGGAGAGCAGAACTGTGCAGAAGCATCCTGAGCAATCTACCTTCCTGCACTTGGTCTCATTCAGCACACCCTTGAGCAGGTGCCCTGCACAAAGTGAAAACTCTTCGGTTTCTATTCTCTGCTTTTAGGATATTTTGGGGAAAATTGTACAATGAAACTGAGATATATTGGTAACTATTTCTCAGCTTAATATGATATAAAAGAATTGAAATATATTTTTGAATGTGTTTCTGTGTGAATTCTGTGGCGTGCTCTGTTGTGGAGCAATTGCAGGCTGCCCCGCTCTGTTATGTGCCTCCCACATTTCTTTACTTCCTTGAATTGACTTCTCTTTGTTTTACTTCTTGCTCAGATCCCCAAAGGATCCTGATTTATATCTTAATCATCTTTTCTACTTCCTTTGTTGAATGACTTGTTCTCCATTCAGCTGGGCCCCCAAATCCCACTGCTTCTCCCGCAGCCTTCTCAGTCCCCCGCTTTGTCCCTGCTCCTCTCCCGCTCCTGGCTCACACCCGCTGTCCTTTTCCTGACCTGAGTTTGTAACCTCTCAGTCAGCCATGACTCCTCTTTCTGCACGTCCTTTTTACCACCAGGCATTAGTTAATTCCCACCCTTAGTCTTAAACATCATCTCTCAAAAATTTTTCCTCCTAGAGTTCGTTGCCAAAATGATCCGCGCTGTGTTAATTTTGTGGCTCATTCCCTGCACCTCCCTTCCGACGGGAACTTGGCCATACCATCTCTCCTCTTTCAGTGCACCCAGATACAGCTGCAAAATTATTTTGGTTTTTTGCCCTTCTCCATTGTGGCTTCTCTACTTCCTTCAAAGAATCAGCAAGATTCTGCTGGTTAGGCCTTATCTTCTATTTGCTGTCTCACAAAGTACTGCAAAACAGAGTGAAAAAAGGCAATTGAGCAACTGACCCATGGATACACATTCTAGAGTCCCCGTCCTTAGCCAGTGTTGCTGCTCCTAGGCAGGATGACAGCCATCCATCATAGCAGTGCTCCAGCACAAGTGTGAGAGAGAAATATCCAGGGGCAGCAAAAACTCCACAATAAGTCCTCTTAGTTGCATCAAGAAAGCAGGAGAAAAACCTTTTTTCTCTCAAATAAATTAGTTTTAATCTTTATTAATTCCAGTTCATTCTCTGGAAAAAAAAAAAAATCAACATGTGAAATTGAAGACCATTGAAATGAAATATTAGTCCTTAGAAATACTCCTCAGCCAAACTCTTTAGTTAATTCAACTTAATCCAAACCCAAATTTTTGGTTCCACAAACTGTTCACACAAGAATAAGTCTATCCAGAGTCAGATTCTCCAAGGATGTTTCATACGGTTGTTGCTGTGAATAGACTCACACTGAAAGGCGTGGGAGTCAGGCACAGGTGGGAGTGCAGCGCATTCTCATCTTGAGGTATTCACATTTCATTTGGAATGGGAAACAGACTGAGGAAAGGGAGGTGCAGTGTTTGGGTCTCGGAGTTGTTACTGTCAGCCAGACTAATGCACTCATGTACGTGTGATCAAGGGAAGCGGCTCCAGCACATCCCTCCGAGGCACTTCCCAAGGAGCTGGCAGTCCTGGGCTGGCTGGCATCGCTGTCCCCTCCCCGCACGGTGCAGCACACGCCTGCTGTCCTGCTGCCTTCCCCAGCCACGCCTGGCTCCGGGAGCCCAACAGTGCCCAGGGCTGGCCGAGGGCAGGGCGTGCTGCACCCACTGATCCACCTCTCTGTCACCCACTGATCCACCTGTCACCCACCTGTCACCCACTGATACACCTCTCTGTCACCCACCTGTCACCCACCTCTCTGTCACCCACCTGTCACCCACCTCTCACCCACCTCTCTGTCACCCACCTGTCACCCACTGATCCACCTGTCACCCACCTGTCACCCACCTGTCACCCACCCAGCTCTGCCCCGGCATCAACCCCACGGAACTAGGAGCAAAGAGTGGAGAGGGAAGACTCGGCTGGAGCAATTGCTCCAGAATTAGTGAGATGTCAAACATGCAGACCCACAGGTGCAGGGTGTGCACGGCTCAAATCTGGGACTGTAGATGAGCATTTGTGGTAGAATGAATCTGTCTGGAATAGGCTTTTATACACTGACATCACTGTTAGGAATTTTGTCCTTTATTTCAAATACATTTCGCCTTCCAAATACTCTGCCCCAGTCCAAGTGTTATCCTCAGTGCATTTGGAGATGTTTAGAGTAGCTTGACCATTTGCCCAAGTTCAGTACAACACCTGATAACTGTGTGTAACCCACAGGCCTTCCTTTATTCTGTTCTTGGCTTACTCACCATTCTGCCCCCCATTCTCCCCAGTAAGCCCCCTTTTCTCTGCCGTGCCCGTAGCTGTGAAGGGTCTTTGGTGCTTTTCAGGTGTTTCTGCCAGGTGACTGCAGCCAAGGTGCTCTGTGTCCCCTCTTTCGCTCCTTCCTCTGCACAGCCCTGACACATCCCTGCAGGCCACAGCACATTCCTGCTCAGTTGCCCATTTTAAAGCTCTGTGCAGTTCTCTTGTCATCTCTGGCAACACAAACTGTTGCCAGCAGCATTTTGTTGTTTTCTTGAAATAATTTGATTTGCAATTGCTTCCCAATGCGTTTTCCCTGCTTTGCATATTCCTTTGTCTGTGCCTATTAGGCTCTTCAGTTTCAAGAAATTTCTAAACTGTTCTTAGTCCTAAATAATGTTAGGTTCAATTTGAACCACGAGCCAGTATTTCATGGGGAATTGCAGATAAATCAACAACACCTGTCTTCATAAAAGAAATTTAAGACTTTGTGTTCGTAATAATTTCCTTTGTGTCTGAAGAAGAAAGCACAGCCATAAACCAAGGGCTGTTCAGCAAGAATTATTTCCAATAACATTAAAATTATTTACAACAGTATTTACAATAAACCTGACAGAATTTTCCTTTACATGTAAATGAATGAACCCTCCAGAAACAACCACAATGTATGTAACTCCGTTTCTCACGTGCACTTCATCCTCATCCATCCCAGGATTGTTTCTGGTACAAAGTCAAAGAGCCAGAATCAATCAGAATCTTTCTTAACAGGATTTTAAGTCAACACCATTTAAATTAAATGACACTACAAAAACACCCAAAAAACACCACAGTTTTGTACTAGTTATGCTTTGAAATTCTTGTGACAGGAATAGACATTTAGCTTGATAAAAATCAGCCACAGAAAGTTTAATTTTTGGAATGTTTTTAAGAACCCATGAATTTTCAAATTGTGATTACAGTTTTGAGGTTTCATGGGAAGTGTGAGATATTTTAGATAAATTTAATGCTGTTTCACCACCAGAAATGAAATTTCTTGTTTGATTTTAAACAAAAATGTTTGATTTTAAATTTTGGAAATGGGCTACTAGAAATATTACAGCTTAATTTTTTAAAGTTC